GGCACGAGAAGTGCAAAAACGCATAATCGCACCGGCCCGCCTGGTGCGTTCCAGCCTGGGTTTGAATTAGCAGGGGGCGTGCATTGCTTTGGCGTGCCCGTGACGAAGGGTTGCTTTGTGTACTACCTCTTCTTTAAAAAAAAAAAAAAACACTGAGAATATATACAGTTTTATTCCTCGCTGTATGACTGGCGGTATGCCATATCCATAGGTGGATCTAGAGAAGGGGGAGAGGGAGGGAGGAAAAAGATCTTTTGCTTCTCCAGCGGTACAGGCGCCAGTGATGCAAGCCCGGGTTTTTCTATAAATAAAATCCAATTAACAGTGTTACAACTCTATTTCTAGTTTTTGCATAGTTCCAAGATGGTAGGGGGCTCTTCCCCACCTCCCGTCGCCCCATCCCCCTAGTAGTCCGTTCTGAATCTGTCTACTGCCAAGTTTAGTGTCTAGACATGCGCATGATAAAAAGTATTACGTACGGTTTGTCTAATTCCATGGAGTCAGGAAGGTCTTGTTCACTTACTCCAAGCTCAAAAAGATCAGTAAATACACCAATCTGTGCTTTTTTAACCTAGCGTTAAATCCTCATGTACAGTTCTTTTGAATTCTGTCGCACTGCAGCATCACGGCTGCATCGGTAAACCAGGTACAGTCAGCTATTTACTGAATGATTCATGAGAAAACGTTTAAAATTTTACCACGATAATGCGTTATTTTTGACAGAGCCATTTCCAAATCACTTTTTGCTACAGTGTCTTGTGCCGCACAGAGTTCGCATAAATCAAGAACAACTTCCACCTGCAACAATGTTATCAATTGCTAGAGACTGAATACTAACTAAAATTCTCATCAAAGGAGCCCCATTTACCAAAGCGCCAGCAATAACACTGGAAAAACAGAAATACTATTGCAGAGCGGAAATCTGTAGAACCCGCATAGGCGGACCTAGAGGAGGGAGTGAGGAAGGGGGAGGGGGGCCAAGGGTCACCCTCACTGACCCCGGCTTTTCCTTCCCACCACCCCCAGCGACACAGGCACCAGTGCTGCAAAAGCTCAGATCTACGGCTAAAACGAAAGTAAATTAAAGCCTCAAGTAACTCTAAACCAGAATAATTCTAAACAGCAGTGTTACATCTCTATTTCTAGTTTTCGCATAGTTCCTGAGTGGGAGGGGACTTTCCTCTTCGCCACCCATCGCCTCCCTCCCTCTTCCCTTCCCCAGGAGTTCCACTCCCCTTCCCTCAGGAGACCGCCCTGGATCCACCTATGAAAATCCGCGTATTGTTCAGTATGAGAGAAACAAATGCGCGAGGAATTGAAAACGTACCCGATTGAGATCAATTGCTCTGTCCACATAGTAACTTAGTTTCGAGCCATTTAATCGAAAACTGCTACTCTAAAAGAGTGTTTGCTTGTACAACAGTAAACAACATCACATGAATAACTTTTTTTTAAAAAAAAAAACACAAAAACTTAAAAAAAATGGGAACTCTAGTTTCTCCAAACAAACAGAAACCATCGATTTTTACGCGTTTTATTTTTTTGTCTGTACAATGATGCAACAAAACCAACCTGTACTAATCGCAGTGCTTGTTCTCTTCGATCGCTTTCCAGCAACGCAACACAGAAATCAGCCAATGAAGATTCTTTGCCATGATACGATCGAATTAAATTCAGTACTAAACAAAATTTTTTTGTTTACATTCGAAATAGTGTTCGCAGAGACCCCCCTCCCCCCCCCCCCCCCCCCCCCCCCCCCCC